TTAGGACAAAAATTTGACTCAGTTTTTAATTAGCCGGTGAAATTGCATTGTACCTTTTTAACGTGTCTACAAAATTCTTATTTTATATAAAATTCATGTACAATATTTAAAAGTTGTGAAGAAAAGAATGTTAATAAAAATAATCGGTAAAAAGTAAAGATTTACAGGTGAATTAAATGAAAAGAAAATTTTGAATGTTTTTGAAAGGGACATGTGCAAAAAAGTAAGATGAAAAACAAAATTACCAAAATAGAAAGAAAAGAAAATCATTTTGAAAATTTCTTCGCTAACAACTAAAAGAAAAATTTCGGCAAATGAAAAATATGCATTGGTGCACCTACAAATAAAAATTGCATGCAGAAGAGTTTTAATGTTTCTTATTAAGAAAAACATAGTCAATGAAACTAACGTTTGTGAAATAGCACTTTTCCTTCTATCAATTTGAGGCCATAAGCTAGGAACTTTATAAGTTTATTTTTAGATAAATGAAATGACCTGTTGAAATAACTTTCTATTATGTATTTTGCATAAATTTAGAGGAAATTTATTATAATATACAATATAATTGAATACGTGTGTTGCTTACCTTCTCCTCCTATTTGTTACGTTCCTAACTAATAAGTCAAAACTGACAAAATTTCAATTTGCAGCAATATTTTTCTTCGAAACTGTAAACTTTCATAATTCCCAAAAAAAGTAAAAAAAGACGGTTAAATCACAATATATAATATTTTAACAGGTCTACTTATTTATGCTCAGATCCTTGAAGTATTGAAAGGAAATGTTCTACTTCACTAACCATTTTTTGAACTGAGTTTACTTTAAAATTTTTTCTACCTAAATTCAAACTTCAAAATAAAGTCGAATTAAAATGTCTTTTGTTGCCTCATTATTCACCTCGTTAAAAATTGGACGAAATAAAATCCTCAAATTAAGTACTAATAAAAAACCTCCCATTATTTTGAAAATTACATGTAATTTCAAATAATTTTAGTCATGTTAGAAATATTTTAAATAATATTAATATGTGTAATTTATTTAATACATAAAAAATCAAGAAAAATTTAAAAGAACTGGACACAACTAACAATTTCAACTATGTACAACTTTCCCATATGGAAGCGATCAACAATATTTTAAAATTTCTATGTTGTCATATTATGCACAGCACATCTACATGACATGTCATTATTAATATGATGTTAAAAATTTTTATGATTAATTAAAGAGATTAATCAAAATCAAGAAAAAAATTTGAGAAAAGTTTTAGCGAATCTAAGGATGGTTGTTCTTCTTAATGCAAGCAATTTAAGTTTTAAAGGTCATAAAAGTGTTAAATGTTTTATCAAGCATTGAAAATTTTTGTGTAATTTGTGTAAAGATTAATCAATAAAATCTACAACATGTATACATGCATGGTTTACGTGTAATACGAGGAGAAATAATTTTATTCATCGAAAAAATATTTTAATGGCAATTTTTTAATAAAATTTCATTTTTAAAACTTGGCACTGGTAGAGCTGTAATGCAAATTTAAAAAAATGACACATATTTACCAAGTTTTTGTAGCTGAAAGTCGGAATAAGTAGTCAAGCGCTCATAAAAATGTAATTCAATAAATTAAATCACAATATTTTCTTATTTTCAGGGTGAAACTAAGAAAAGTTGCCAATACCGATACAAATAGTTCTTCGTTTTTCTAGTTTTCGTAATTTGAAATAATTCACAATAATTTCACAATAATTCGAAGATCATGAATTTCAGAAGTATGTATATGGTGTGGACTTTTAACTTTCATATACTTAGTGTAGTTTTAAATTTAATTTAATTTAAATCAGTTGGATGTTTTCGAAAACCGATCATTGGCAGCTTATTCCAGTAAAACTTATACCTTCCAATTCAATTTTACGACACTTCAAAAACTAGTTCGTTTACGATGTTTAAGTTTAACGCAAGCTGAATTAATAAGGTTCTTGGCTAAATTGAGTGTTACTGAAATTGTGATGGTACGAGTAATTACTGGATTTCACATTTCCTTTTCGCAAAAAATTGTGCTCGTTTATAATTGTTTTCATTCAAAAACATTTTAAAACCTATTTTAATTTAATAGTTATTTGTATTTTAAAATTAATACTGTCATTAATATCTTTACAGCCATAAAAATATTTTTTATGGAAAATTAAACAATTTATTTTATTTTAATTTTGTTATAAGTAGATGCTATTAAAAAGGAATTACATATGAACATTTTCTCTTTGCAACTTTACAAAAAAAGTAAATATGAGCATTTTATAACCTATTTAAATTGTAACAATTAATTTTTTTATAAAGCTACATATAAGAAAATCAATGATTTCAAAAAGAAATGAAAAAATGTATAAGAAAAAGTTGCGGCATTATAAATTTGAATTCATAATTCATTCGGATAAATTTTTTTGCTTGCAAAACAATTGCGAAAATAAAATTTTTAATTAAAAAATACATGAGAATTCACACTTTTTGTACCAATTATGTATATGTGTGGATGTGTGTTCTATGTAATTTGTGTGTTGAACTTATTTATCCTATAAATCTTATTTCCAGATCATTAAAATATTAGGCTAAATGGGCTATGTATTGTCAATAAATTTCACATTATTTTTTGTAAATTCTATTTCATGTATTCTGCTCTCATGATTTAATTTTAAATGGATATTGTGTTAGTTGAAAAATTTGAATAAGTATTTACGTCGCTTCATAACATGCAAATTAAATTTTTTCTGTGTCTCGATTGCAATATGATGTGGGCATTACTGCAATTAATGAAATGCAAAAAAATGGAAGTAAACGTCATGAAATGGTAGAGAAAAATATTTATTCGATAACTAATTTTAAAATTTCCATAAATATGAGAGGTGTTACACGGGTTCTTTTTGAAAAGAAAATTAAATTTTCCTTTGTGGCGGTTTGTTAATATTTCTGTTACTTCCAAAAATTTATCCTACAAAAGCACAAATACTCTGATATTTTCCATAATACTTTGAGGCCATTTAATTTTATGCAATCGTTTTTATAACAAAACTTAATGTATGGTAAAACATATTTGTGTGGCGAGGCGCCTGTTTGTCTGCAACTAAAAAATTATTAATGTTTTTATGTAGATTAAACTGAATATCCGTATGAACGAAAATCTCATTAGAAAAGCAAAATTTGCTAATTTTTATTTTTTATCCACCGCTATTTTTTAATGCTAAAACTTTTTTGAAGAAAAACAAAAATAATTCCAGCGAGAACAGCAAGTTGGTGTTGTGTCATTTACACACCAAAGAAAAAATGAAGATTAGAAATTTTTTTCTCTTAAGTAGCAACAATGTAAAGCTTGTAAATTAAATTATGAAGAGAAAAAAATTTTTAAAGATATTCACAAAGCGGTATGCAACCTTTTCTGATTAGTTCGAGTATTTTGAAAATAAAATAATTGCCTTAAAATAATAAGATAATTTGTTAACGTAAACGTTTCCGTTCAGTAAGAAAACATTGGTTAATATCAAGAACGATCAGCTTTTTAAATACAATAAAATTCAATTTGAAGTTGTATTTTAATCATTTAGACCTTATTTTAAAGTTAATATCTCTTCATTTATATTAAAATTAGCGGATAAATATGATGAATTGAGTAAACGTTTTTGTTATCCTCTTTAATAACACGAATTGTGGAGATCAAACCTGGATTTTTTATTATTTTCTCTTTCAGTTAAAACATTTGCCTTTACCTGTTATTGAAAGTATTTTCAGAATTTGTCGCGAGATCTTATGTCTTTAAAAAAGTCCAAATGGGAAAATTTTTTGGTTCAATATCTAGTTTTTTGTTTGATTATTTTCGGTCAGAATTAACGGCCCGCATTCAGAAAAAGATTTGAGATCTGAATCAAAGATTTTAAAAAATTATGCTACATACCTATTTAATGTATAAATTTGTAAGAGAAATTAAAACATGAGATGAAAATTTTAAAAAAAGAGAATTAAATTGTCTCTTTTTCTTAACGCAATTATTTTTTAATTTTGTTTTAGTCTCAACTTGTGAACCACTTTAAAATCATTCAAGTATGTTGTTGTTGTTGCATTAATGTAGTTCAGAACATTTTTTTGTTGTAAGTAATGATTTCATTGCATTTTTTTATTTTCTGCATATTGCCACTTTAAATAAAGTTGGTCGTGTGATAGAAAAAGTGGTTTTTCCTATTTTAATTTATGATTTCTATTATTAGGTTTATGATTATGAAAATGACGATAATGTATTGTGGTGATGATTAAAAATGTTACAACAAAAAAGAAAAATCATCTGAATTTTTTAATAAATGATTTACGTCTGTGTTAGTGCAATTGTGATATTGGGTTTGTATGACGGTGAAAAGGAAATTATTAGTTCCCGGAATTAATATTTTTCCACTTTTTCTTCTTCTTATTTTATGTGTTCATCTTTTTTTGGATTCAGATTTTTTTTTTATATTTTTGCAGAAGGAAAACTTTCATAGCTTTCCTTGGCTTGTTTTGTTGGGAAAACTTTATTTTTTTCTTTTTTATATGTTATGAAAAATTTTAACATTATTAAGGAAAACTTTTATTCTCAGAATTGTAATTTCAAAATGTTATAAATTTTTTAGCTATTGTTGCATTTCTGGTTTAAATTTTTCCAACATTATTTTTATTAATTGATGAGATACAAATAAAAGAAGAAATTTTTTTCAATTTGATTTCTATTAATGTGAGATAAGGTTATTATTAATGAAGGTTAGTGCAAAATTAATATAAAAAAAAACTAAGTACGGAATAATTGTGGATTTATTGCGTCCATTTTTGATATTTTCAACAGATGAAATTCACACACTTCAATTTACCAACAATTCGTTCAATTCGAATTTTGCTACCTTAAGTGTTAAAATGCGTCAAGTCATGCTATTAAAATCAACTAACCTTCACTTATTCAATATATTAAAATGTTATTCCCTTTCTCTTTTCAGTCAATTGTTTGTGAAGATGTGGAAGTTATTAAGGCAATTGCAGCTGAAGAACAAAATCATGATGAAAATGAATCAGATCAAGTTGCCTTAGAATCTAATGATCAAGACACACATAAAGTATTAACTTATCCACATGGACCGGGTCCTGCAAGAGGTAAAATATATTTACTTTCGTAATCGTATCATTTACAGTTATAATACTTTTTCTTCTTCAGTTGTTAATCATGGACAAAATGTTCAACTTTTAGGGCAACCATTTGGACCACCGCCACCTTCTCCAGCTCATATGGCGTATCATGGACCACCGCCTCCTCCACCAATGCATTTGCAAAAACCACATCCGTCACATGGAGGACCACAACATCATCAAGGACCACCACCTCATCAGCCAGTACATCAACCACCGCCACCACCAAAACTTCCAGATCTTAGCACAGCAGCTGCATCAACAAATGAAATTTGGGCATCACCAATGCAAGACATGCCAAAAATTGTTTCACTTGACGTTAAATGTGAAAAAAATGGAATGAAAGTATTTTTACAGTTTGATAAACCTTTCTATGGCATAGTATTCTCTAAAGGACATTATAGTAATCCAAATTGTGTTCACTTACCAGCTGGTGTTGGTCGAAATTCCGCTACTTTTGATATTGGATTGCATGCATGCGGCACATCAGGCAATACAGAAAATGGCCTATATGGCTATGGCTCTGAGTCTGGTTCTGGAACATATTTTGAAAACATTATTGTTATACAATATGATCCACAAGTGCAAGAAGTATGGGATCAAGCAAGAAAGCTCAGATGTACTTGGCACGATCAATATGAAAAAAGTGTGACATTTAGACCATTCCCTGTAGATATGTTGGATGTGGTAAGAGCTGATTTCGCTGGTGATAATGTCGGTTGTTGGATGCAAATTCAAGTTGGCAAAGGTCCATGGGCTTCTGAAGTATCTGGTTTGGTTAAAATCGGTCAAACTATGACTATGGTATTAGCAATTAAAGATGACGATTCTAAATTTGATATGTTAGTAAGAAATTGTGTGGCACATGATGGTAAACGAGCACCAATTCAATTAGTTGATCAGAGAGGCTGCGTTACAAGGCCAAAAATAATGTCAAGATTTACAAAAATAAAGAATTTCGGTGCCAGTGCATCAGTTCTTTCCTATGCACATTTCCAAGCATTTAAATTTCCCGATTCTATGGAAGTTCACTTCCAATGCACAATTCAAATATGCCGTTACCAATGTCCAGAACAGTGCTCTGATCCAAATCTTCAAGATGTTCATCATTTACAAGCTGGCCCTGAATCACAATATATCCCATCATCACCAATGGAATCATATTTGCATACATTAAATAAACGTCGTAACGATGATTCAAGACGTGATGAACGACGGGGTAGACGTACAAGAGCTTTAGAGAAACCTGAAAAAGATGTTGGCATAAATCGATCTATTCGTGTCGTATCATCTGGTGATTTAACGTTTGCAATTGATGAAAAACCAAATGCTACAATAGCACAACCTCAAACAATGGTCTTTACTGGAAAAGAAGAGGGTTTAGTTTGTATGACAACACCTGGATTTGCCTTACTTATAATAATATTGTTAGCAATCCTTTTAGTTTCTTGTATAGTTTCTGTGTTCCTAACATTGAGGTTAAAACCATTTTCTAAACTTAAAAAAGAAAGAGCTGTTGCTTATACAAATCCACATATAATAGCAACATTACCACGTGTATTGACCACAAATATGGTTGGTACAATGACAAGGCCAGTCAATTCGATGAATGGAATGAATACAGTGCCAAAAAGTAAAAGAATTCGTTCGTGAATTATAATATGAAAGCTTGTGAAATGCAATTTTCACAAATGAAATTTTATTTTTGCTTTATTAAAATGTGCATTGCTTTCTAAATTAAAATGCACAAATAATTTTGTATTTATACCTCATTTTTTTTATTAAATTTTTATAGAATGAAATTTATTTTCTAATTTCTTTCATATTCAAACTTACCTGCTTTATTTTTATCGTTACCTGTGAATTTCTACATATATATGTATGTATATATATATATATATATATATAGATATTTATATGTAATATTATGTTAATTTATTAATTTTGGTAGTAACTTTAAGGATGAGAAATATTATTGTCATTAAAATTTAGTAATTATCTGTTCGTGCCCACGAAAATTATTATTTTAAGGGCTTTAGATAAAGACTTGTAGTTTCTAAGAAAAAACAAAATATTAAGTTTAAAAAAAGTTTTTTTTTTGATAAGTTGGAAATTTTTTATTCTTTATTCTATAAAAGTATTACGTTTATAATCTTAGATTTTTCTAGTTGCGCTTAACTAAAATTCTTAAACGCATTTTTATTGTCGCCTTTATTATTAATATTCACAATACGCTTTATAAATATTCACAATACGTGTTATAAATTAAAACTTGAAACACTTTAATACTTGAGTCTATTTCTGCACAATTCAATCAATTAATGCAAATTACTAAATTATTTAGTAATTTGGTATGTAAAATTTTCTAACAATTTATAATTCAATTTTATGTCAAAAGCATATATTTCAAAAATTTTATGTTATGGGAAAATGTATAATTTATTGCTAATATATTTTCAAGCTACAAGAAAATTCTCGAACTACGATTATGATTTATTATGCTAAATAAAGTTATATAAGCGTATTGAATGTCAATATTTTAAATTAACTATACATAATAATATATAATTATTGGACGGGCAAATATAGTTGCCACGAAAGTGTGTCTCAAATTATCACATGTTAATCCTAGATCTGTCAAAATTTTTAATGGATGCGTTAAGGGTTTTTATTGTGTTCGTGCAAATTGAAAACTTTATTTACAACATAAATTGGTTCATATAATGGCTCTGATAATTTTTCTCCAATTTAAATACTAAAGAAATATTTACACAATATATTGGAATAAAATGTACAAGATATTTTCATCAACTTTATAATTATATTTATACTTATTATTAATTTAAAACCCTTAATTTCATATTTATTTTTAATTTAAAAATAATTAATTTATATATATATATATATGTATTTAATATAATATAATGAAATAATGTAAAAGAAATAGTCATAGTTAGTAATAATAATTGAAAATTCATATTATTATTTTTATTCTATTTATATAAATTTCATGAAATTAAAGAAAATTAATAGAATTAGAATTTAAATTTCCAGAAAATATAAAATATTACTATACTCTATTTGTATTAAAGAAAAAAATTTTTGAAATTTTAATATTTTTGATCAATATATTTATTACTTCTAGTTTTAATTAAAATAGGTTTATAAGCAAAATTCATATCTAAATTCAAATGAAAAATTATTGAAAAAGAAAATATTGAAATTCACAATAAAATTATTAAAATAAAATACAAAAAAATCAAAATTAAAATGTAAAAGAAAATATCAAAATAGTTTAAGAATGAAATTTACTTGTTATAAAGAAAATGGTACTAAAAAATTTATTTATAGAAATCAAATTATTATTTGTTGTTTTCATAATTTTTAATAAATCGATATTATGTACACTTATCTCAATTGAAATGCAATTAATAATTTAAAATAATTTTAATTTGATTTTTTCTTAAATATTCTATATTCACAATTTTTCTATAATTAATAATTCTATATTCTATATTCGAATAGAAACTGGAATTGGAAAACTAAGATTTCTTGTCTGTGCAATAATTTTTTTAAAAAATTATCCTAAACTTTTCGAATTTATGTCTAATGTTTTAATATTTTCAAAAACGGATTAAATAATTTTTGAAAATCAAACAAGAAAATTGAATGGAATCGATATTGTGTATCGGTTGCATGCATTCTCAATAGAATTTATCTATTATTATAGTATTTCAATTGAAATCAAATTAAATTTTGTAATGAGATTTGTTAATTTTTTCATAATTTTTTTTTAAATTTACAATGAGAAACAAAACTGAAATGAAAAATATTTATAATAATATTTATTTATTTATTTGAAATTTTCTATTTATAATTATTAATGTTTGTCACTTTAAATATTTATTTATTTATTAATTTATTGGATGTTATTGTTAAAAAAATTTTTTTGTTATGTTTTGTAATTTTTTTATATTTATATTTGTAATATTTAGAATTAAAGAATAAAAAAATACAATAATTATATAATTAGTTTTAGCAATATAAAATATCCAATAAACAAAATAGAAGACAAAAATAAGCAAAGATAAATTGATTTTTAGTTCATTGAATTGAATATTTCATTGCAGCAATATTAGAAAAGTATAAATTTGGTTATTACTAAATTTCATCATAAAATCAATAGAAAAATTTTATGTAAATTCAAAAAAAAAATATTTAACTGAGTTAGAAAGGTGTTAAATGTACTTATATACAAGTAAGAATGATTATAACATAATTCAGGGATATTTTTTAAGCCAGTTTTTTAATTTTTAAAAATATTTTTGTGCTTTTTTACTTTCATTTGTTATTTATCATATTTGCTTGATAATTACTAGGAATTTTGCTATATTGACAACATATAAATTAATGTTTAGTTAAAAGTATATTGAAAATTGTTGCAATGAATATTCTATTCAATGTACAATAAATAAAATAGGAATTATAGTAATTGAAAATAAAAAACAAAAAGAAACACAAAAGTTTTAGTAATACTGAATAAAAGAAAAAAAAAAAAAAAACAAAAATAAAGTATTTAAATTGTAATATTTAAATTAAATTAAATAAATAAAAATTCATAAAAGAAAGAAAGTAGTTTATTTTGCGTTAACATCGATGGGATACTTAATTAACGCAACTTTAGGTTGTCAAAGTAAATATAGTCTCGTCTGTACTTCAGTATTTCAATTTTGGCAACTGATTGATCAAAAATTAAAATTTTTTATTAAAATATTATTTTTTATTTAATATAGAATGAAATAAAAAATACTTCGGATAAGGTCCTAATGTGGTGGAGAACGTTTTATTTAAAAAATATGTAAAGTATTAGTTTTTTTTGCCAATTTAAATAGAAAAAGTTTTGCTGCGTTACATGTTAGCAGAACATATTAGCCAACAGAGTAGGATACTTCAAAACATTAATAACAAATACTTTTTTCAGTCAACGTTTGGTAACAGTGTAATCATATAAGTTCTGGTTCTAAGAACAAATTTTCAAACATTACATTATTTTTAACATAATATGGTATTTTTGTAAGGAACGCAATGTGACATAACTCTGTTTTGTAATATTTATACTCGGATTTTCCAAGCGATGTTTTTACACGATTTCCTTATTTCCAAATCAAACGAACAACCACTTTGAGTTTCTATAGGTTATTTTTATTACAATTATTTTGTTTAGCTGTAAATCATTTAGTTTTACAAATAAGTTTTGTTTTAAGTATTCTTTTTTTTTCAATATCTTATGTCTAAATAAATAAATAACGAAATATATGACTTAATATCTGTATAAAAATTTCTTTTAAATAATTTTAAATTTCCTAAAACAAAAAAAAAACAAAAATTTTCTAAACATTTTCAAATTTCATTTCAAGCAATAAATTTCAATAAACTTTTTCGTTTCATATGCATAGTTGTATTATAATTCGCAATATAATTTATTAAACATTTAAATGAAACATAATATTTTTATATGTATATTTAAATAAATATAATAAAAAAAATAAAAAATTAAATTTATAATGCACCCTTTTTTTGCAGCACCCTTCTTCTTATCATACTCGATTATATATCGCAATTATGGAGATTTTTATTCAATATAATAATTATCAATTGTTCAAATTTATAATAATTTAATTTAGAAACTTTCTACAATAATTACTTAGAATTCATTTATTTTTATTTTAATATTTATTACAATCTAAATAATATAATTATTAAAGGTAAAATACATAGATTAGTTTTTAAATATTTCAAAAATACATAGAAAATAATAATAAAAAATTATTGTATAAAATGGGTATGTTCAGAAATTTTCAATTGAAAGAATTTCAATTTATAAATTACAAGTTGAAAATAATTCGGAATAACGGCTAATAGCCCTTTTTAAAATATTTTTAAATCTGTTAATCTAAATAATGAAAAAAGTCGCATAAAATATGAAAATATGTAAGTTTTTAGCCGCATAATTTCTTGTTAACTACAAATAATAACAACATGTAATTTTAATCTGAACAGACCCTTTTTTGTTTGCCAAAGACCAATGTATGAATTTCTGATTTAAAGAAAACCCATCTTTCATTATAGTTTGTGTAATAACATTAAAATATTCTATTGAAAATCACATTCAAGAGATTCATATTAAGGTCTTTTCAAAAATGGAATTTTATTAAAAATTCATTTTGTTTATTTATTAATTTTAATAATTTAAATAATTTAAATATTCAACTTATTACAATTTCTATATCATAAATATTTTTATACTATTATTATCATGAAATATTTGATATTTGAGTTATTTTAACAACTTCTAGTATGTCGGAAAAATCTTATAGAATTTTCATAAACACTTTAAATAAAACTTGTGGCACATTTTAATTTGAAATTCCGATATGCGGTTAGATGTTGGAAGATATAAGACTGGTGCAGTCTGGCTAGAAGCGCTATTGACATAAAAGTTATCAACAATTTAAAATTTGGCTGTCTTTGCCAAATTTCTTAAAAAAGTTTACAAGTAATAAAATTAAAAATATTCCTTATTATCGAAAGAGTAGTAAAACTTTTACGTGACCACAACGTTATTATAAATTCTCTCAACAAGTATTAAAAATATAGCATATATTTGTGTAATAGTAAGAACTTTAAATAGGTTGAAGACAGAATAATTTACAGGTTTTTATTATTATTTTTAAATTTTCTTACGAATTATTCATATATAAAGTACATTTGTTTTTCGTATAATATAACTAATAGTCTAACTTATGACAAAAAGTTTTGGACTTAGCTGATTTTTTATTTGTGTGTAGGTTGTAGTGTATGAATATTTTAATTAAAAGAATTTCTAAAACTAATTTTTAGAACTAACTTCTTTGAAAATTTTCGAATTGAGTTAACAACGAAAAAGGGAAACTTCCAAAAAAATTTATTTTTTATTTCAAATAAACATTCATATTTTAAATAAATATTTTTATTCTAAACATCGTAAAACGAGGCTTCATGCGATTATGTGATATAAGTTTTGAAAAATAGGAATGACAATCAAATATCGTAAAATCGGTAATTGTTTCAATTATTCAAATTTTATACTTAAGTATACTCGAAATTGAGAATTTTAATATTTTCTTAATTTAATTTTTAAAGTTGAATTTATGTATGTATGTGGAGAGAATAAATGTAGAAGATACATATTTATGTATAAAATCAGTCATAACAATTTTTAACATAAGTTCAAAACCAATAATTAACATTAAAATTATAGTTTACATGTTAAAAATAGTTTTTTATTTTTTCTTCTAATGAAAAATTAAATTTTATGCAATTTTGGAAATTATTGTTGGGTTTCATCAACTTCAGTACTTGTTGTTTGATGTTGTGCCGCTGATAATTGTTGAATATTTCTTTGTTGATTAGTTTGCGATTGTTGTTGAAGATGATGTCGAGTATTATGCTTTTGTTCTTGTTGTTGTCTCATTTTAAATAATCTAAGAGTCATCCATGATGCAAATGTTGCTGGCGCTAATGGGGTTTGTTTCTCAAGAGCCTCTTTTTGTAATTGATATCGATATAAAAGTGAACCAGCTAACAAAGATGATACAATTGTTGCTGATATAACAACAATAAAAAGTATACTAAAACCAGGTACAGGCATACAAACCCCGTAAACGATTTCTTCTGATATTTTTCCTTGAAAAACTGTAACAGATTCCTGTTTTGTGTCTGGGCTAAAAGCTAAATCTGCTTCAGAAATGACATCATATAAGCCGCTAACCCCAACGTCAGCACTACGTGCTTTTCTATCAGAAATATGAATGGATCTTCGACGTCGGTTATCTCCATCAGATGTGAATTTAGCCTTATTATTAGCTGAAAATTTCCCATTAGTATCATTAACATCACTCATAGGTACCTTTTTAGTATTTGGTCGGTATATTGGTGCTTTATCATTATCATGTTTTAAAGCTCTTGGCCCTGCCATCGGCATTCCGATTCTATTTTGAGCTTTTGCTTCAAATAATCGTGGTCCTTGCGGGAATTTACCATCTTTTCCTTCTTTTTCATTTTCATACTTCTTCAGTTCTAAATAATGTTCTTTATCTGTTTCATTATCGCCGTCAAAAGCTTCTTCATCTTCACTTCCGTACATAAGAGCATCTAAATCTGTCTCCTCTGTTTCATGAACCGGTCTTGGAGGAAGGTTTTTATTTTTAGGTATTTGTAAATTGTTGCTTATTCCAACATTTGAATATTTGTCATGCATTTTAAAATTATTTAAAATATCCTTAATACCTCCATTTATCGACGACAATTGATTTTTATTATGAATAATGTCTTGATAATCTTCATCGTGTTCATGGCGATTTGCTATTCCTGGATCAAGATAAATCTCGTTGTTGTTGCCACCACTTAAAATATTATCTTTACGCTCATGAACATTGCCAGTCAATTGACAATGATCAAGACAACCATGCCGACAAATTTCAACCTTGCATTTAATATGTACACTTAGTGCATCAGGAAATTTAAAAGCATGGAAAAAAGCATATGTTATTACAGTTGCTCGTTCATCAGGAGCTCTTGCTTTTAAAAATCTTGAAATCATTTTTGGTCGTAACACACAACCAAATTCATCTGAAAGTTTTATTATATGACCACCACCATCTGACGCAACACATGATTTAACACGCATATCAAATTCACCTACAAATATTTAATTTAATATCAAACAAAATATTAGATTTTTAATTAAAATCACCTCTATAATCATTGATAGCAACTACTAAAGTTAAAGTAGAGCCTAAGGGAACAATTCCACTCACGGGCGGTGCCCATGGACCTTTTCCATGTTGGATTTCCATCCAACAATCAACATTATCACCTATAATGCAAACATTTTAGTAGAAGTAAATATTTTTATTTTAAAAACTTCTACCCTTTACCTCTAAAATCAAGTTGAATAACATCTAAATCTGAAATGACCATAGGAGGTTTTGTAGCAGTTTTTTCATAATCATTAAACCATTCACATCGAAGTCTTTTCGCTTCATCCCATACTTCAAGTAAATCTTTATCGTATTGTACAACAACCTAAAAATGTCATGTTTAAAATTAGTGGCATAATAAGTTATAAATTTATTAAGATTCTTACAGTATTCTCATAAAATTGTCCATGTAAATCTGGTTTAGTTCCACATTTTGAATAGGATATTCTGAATTGAAAAAATGTTTTACCAGTTGACGGTGGTACATAAATGCAACGTGGATCACTATGTTGACCTTGAATTAATAAATTTGTGATTATTTTTTTATATTAATAATATTAAAAATTAAAAATGTTTTACCCTTAGAACTAACTATTCCTTCGAACGGATTGGAAAAAGTTAAATGTACATCCATATGATCTTTACCACACATTACTTCTAGCGAGATTATGTTTGGCATTCCATCGGGCCTCTCCATTGGCCATAATTCATTACCAGCTAAAACTAAACTAAACTGAAATTATAAAAAGAAATATTTAAAAAATTAATTAAACGAATACAAATTGAATACACATTACACACACACACGTCATTTCAAGGTGTCTCAAAGGAATTCTAAACAGAAAAAAAAAATGGTTTATTAGATACTAATAATAGTGCTTATTAAACTCTAAAATTAATTTTTTTAAATTCCCTGAAGAATTTTACTAAATTTAAAAAGATAAAGTCCATGTAAGGTGAAATTTTATTAAACGCTAATATTAATTGCTCCGTTAATAGAAAGAGTTGCCAGAGTTTCTCAATTTAAAAACAATTGTATGACAAGAGTATGTACTGCGTTGAAGTTTGAAATTTTCTCAACGACTTCTGTTCATCAACAACTACTTTTTTCATTAGCGGCGCTGCGCTGTCTTCAAAAACTATTCTACAAAAAAATATCAGTCAAGTCAATGTAAATAACTGTGAAAGTTTCAAATTGTAGTTTCTTATTTTTTTTTTTGCAATTATGTTGAAGATAGAACATAAATAACAATATAAATTCACTTAATTTGTATGTGTGTAAAACTTTATAACGGGGCACGTGTGTCCATACACAAATAAGTTGTGTACGTTTGTACCTATACATTATTTCATATATTAATAAATACATATATGTAATTATAAACAGTGTTTTAAACTCTCATTTTTCTAATTGTTTGAAGTATAATTGAAATATTTATTTTATAAAATTTACTGTGTAGTGTGCGAATACACGATTTAATATTTTCACGACCATGATAATTATTTTGTTTTTTTGTTGTACAAACTAAAAAAAACTGGACTTTTTGTAACGCTCTCTATTATTTTACATTTTAAAATAATTTTTTATGTTTTACATTAAAGAAAAAAAAATTTTTTTCCATTTACATTCTTTTATTTTAGTAATTTCTTTATTGTGATAAGTGAAATTTCAATAAAATAACAAAATTTACGATCAAAACCTAGTTTTAGACTTTGTAACAAAAAAAAAATGTAATCAGATGAATTGTGAATTTTTATAGATTTTTCAATTTCTTTCAGAACGAAAGTTGATGCGTCAATGAAAGGAAAATTAAATGGTTGACGGTAAATTTATTGTAAATTATGATATTTTTTTATGATGCATGTGTCAAATGCAATAAATAAATACATTTATGTATACACTGTATGAAAGTACTTTTGACGAAATATCAATCAAATAAAAATTGTGAATTTATACAAGATGTCAATTTATGTTTTTAATAGAATTTATAAGTTGTTGTTATCTAAATATAGTCGATAAGTGACTAGGAAGATTGATTTTTCGTCCCATCAGTTTAATTTAAGAACGAATTGTGTTTTGTCTACTATCATAACTGTCAAACACTAAACACAGTTATAGGTTAGAAATTCGTGTGTCAAAACTTCATGTACCTATACAAAACTTCAAAAAGTAAGAAACATGCGTCTTCTTACTGCAGCAATGTTGCTTGTATTAAATGCAACTTTTACTTTTATACTAATAACATAATTGTGAAAAACAATTGACTATTGAAATTCCATATTCCATATATTTTTTTTTTTGTTTAATAAAATTCAAGTTTTAATGCAATAACGAAAAGAAAAAATTATAATAAAAACCGTAACTAGTTTTATACTTTCACATTTAATATAATGGCCATTATTAGTTTATAATTTAAAGAATTTTTAGTTTGGGTTTCATTCAATCACAACTTTATCATTAAAACAAAATTATTTTTTTCAAATCATAATTTTTCTTATACAAATTTAAATATCTCAATTCATACAAATTCCGGCCAACAGTTTCATAATAAACTAACAAATTTCATTAAAATCGAAAATCTTTTAATCTAAAATCTTTGGATTTCAGTGCACAATGAATTTTCATTTTCTATCTTAATAATATTAAAAATTCAATTGTTTCCAGTTTACGAAATTTATATTGATTATTTTAGTATAAGACATGGAATTCATTTAACAGCAATGAAAGAAAGTATAAAATCTATTATTCACAATAACATAAAATTAACAATAATTACTAATTGTAAATGAAGAAATCTATTTAATTTGATAATAAAATTTTTCGTTCTAATTGTTTTTTAAGAAAAAAAAAGTGAGAAAACAAAAATATGTCGTTGGAATTTCTCCTATATGAAATATCTCTAGCAAAAGTAAAAACACCTTTTCATCGCGAAGATCCACTAAATTATTCCAAATCCGAATATAGATCCGAAGATCCTAAAACTTATCAAATAACAAAATAGAGTAGCTCGTAAATGTATACGAGTACGAATCCTAGTTGTCGTAAGACCGGTTCATTGCTTTCTACTGTTTTAACTTTTAACATACTCACTTCTATATTATTTTATTATTCTACTAATAAATCAAACCGCGTTCAATTAAGTTGATGAGAATCGTCTCACCTAACCTAACCTTATTTACTAATAATTTAAATAATGTAAATTCTGTAACTATACAAGTATTAAATTTGTTATGGAATACAAACATATGGGTGTGTGTTTTATCAAAAATTAGTGTTATTGAAAAATACTTTCACTTACTGTAAGATGAAAAATAAGAATATAACTTAATCTAAGGTCCCACAATCTTGTAGGACCTTTCTGTGAGCACCACATTTTGGATGACAGATTATTTTGATGATATCTGAAAATGCAAATATTAATTATTAAATAGTTTTATATAAATGAAATGAAAAACAAAATAAATGCTTAATTTAAATCATATAATAAACCTTAAAAATAGTAATTTTAAACCGTGCGCAGCATATTCAATTTTATTGAGCGGACTTAGTCAACATAATTTTTTTATAACAAGTAGTCATAATGCTGTTTAAAAATTGTTTTTTTCAACTAGATGAAAAAGTCCCGAAAGACGAAGAAGAACGTCTGCCTTTTTCCTCCTAGAGTTTGGGGGGGGGGGGGGGGGGGGGGGGGTGTGTGACTCCTATCCTAAAAAATCACCTAAACTCTGCACGGATAAAACTGGTCCTACTGACTAACTACTACCTCTGCGCTAACTTGGCCCAAAAATAAAGCAAAAACTTGTCGGTAGACCATACGCACAGTTTATGTGAGTACATTATTATATTTTTTGACTCGCTTATTGAACATTTACGAGAAGGTAAATTAACTTTTGTTTTTTGCACCAAATCGAAAGTGATGATTAAATGAACCGATTGAAAATGACACGTATAGTAAGTCAAACAATAAATAATCAATCAAAAATTTTTGATTTATTTTTTTTTTAATTTTTTTCTTTTCTTTGTTTATTGATAATTGATTTAAAGCTAAAACTAAAAAAACAAAAACGATCTAAAATTAATTTTACATAAATTTAACATAAATAAATGAAATTTGTTTTTCCTTTTCATTCTGAGAAAATATTAAATTCAAAAATTTGTTTGAACAAAATTTTTTACCGTAAATTGTGTTATAATGACAGCTTGAGTCCGATTTATTTATCATTTTGTTGAATCGTATTTATTAAATGATTAATCATTTTCGCATAATTTATTTTTTTTTGTATTTTTTTTTTTGAATAACAATAACTAATTTATGTGTATTTTTTCATATTATATTTGGCAGTAGTTAAATCGAAACAAAACGGAAATTCTATAGAGAAAAAGAAAGCATTTTGTATTTTCAATTCACAATATTAAGGGTTTAGTAAAAAATCAAAAGTGAGCGTATTTGTGTGAGCTTTCCTACTTAAGAATCACCTTCTTATTTTTGATCTATTAAATTGATTTATAGTTAAATTTGTTATTGTAAGAGTGATAGAATGATTAAGTGATGGTAATCTACAATGTTTGTAAAATCATACAATTATTTGCCATAATCGGATGGCATTTATTCACAATAATCGCTCTAACCAATCTTATAAAAATACTTAATATTATGTCAAATCGTTTAAATATATGGAAGACGTTTATGTTCTAAGAACATTTTTTTATTTTACAAAAACATCAAACCTTTCTATTGCTTTCTTAATAAATAAAAAATATTGAAAGAAAATTTTAGTAAACACACTAAATTGCACAAAGATTTTTCTCATAATTTATAACAGAGTGTTAAGTTAAACGAAGAAGACTGATAATGAGTAAACAGATTAGAAATCAAAAATTAAAAAGTGATGAATTAGAATTGAAGTGAAAAAAAAACTTCATTCAATAGAAAAAAATTATTTTGTCTCTTTTGTATCTGTTTTGATTTTTGAATGCGCTTAATGATTAATTTCTGATTTTCGTTATTATGGGATTTTAATTTTTTATTGTTGGTGATGATTTGTGATTTGGTCTTTAATCCTCATTTGCCGATTAAATCGCATGACTTGATCTTTTTGTGATTAAGAAGAACATCTGTCATTAGCTGTTTTTTTATGGATATAGAAAAATATTTGCATATTTTTTAATATCATATAAATACGTACATACATACATAGCTGTTCTACATTTTTTCCTACAATAAATTTTATTAATTCAATCATAATTCACTATAAGAATTATGATAGCATTATTTTGAGTATGGAATAGCTAAGTGATAGTGATCGTAAAATTTTCAAAATTCACCAAAGATTAATATCGAAATATAAAATACAAAAAAAAATTAAAAAATGATAGATGCTAGGTGACTCGATATTCTGACGAAGCCCCATTATTCTTTTTTATACGTAAAACGAAAATTAAATTGTGAGAAACCCTATAAGAAGACTTGAGTTTTCGTAATAACAGATCTTTTGCCTACAGATTTTTATTTTAAGCATAACTTAAAAATCATTAGTGGAAAACGATTAAATATAATAATATTTTCTTTGAGTATTTGAAAAAATAACATCTTTTAGCGAAAGTCTTAATGTACATTAAAGTACATTTTTACACCTTAATTTAATCATATGAGTTCATTACAATACACTTTAAAGATTTATACAAATATATTATAAAAAAAGTGTAAATATTTGCTTTCAAAAATATGAAGAAATATGAAGAAGTTTCACTTCCCAAGTATTGATTATTTTATTGTTAAAGACATGCAAAGTGTCATTTTAAATGCGAATATTATGAATTTAAATCGAAAACGCGAGTCTAAGGAGGAGTGTCAATATAGAAGAAAAAAAAATATTTATCTAGTATAGTAAACTGATTTTCTATAAATAGATTTTATTTAATTTAAAAATATTTAATATTTAAGAGAAAGTGTGCGTAGCAGAATTTGTTTTTGTAGCATATTTCGTCAGTCAGGGTTTTTACTTTCAAACATTGCTCATATTTTTTGTTTGATTTGAAAATTTTGATGATAGTTTGTTATGGAGTTGATTATTGATGCGTATTGTTCTTTAATGACGAAAATATATACCATTTAAATCTCATTGAATAAAATACACGAAAAACGCTTGGTTCCTCAACCCTGTTCTTGCGTTCTTGCTCTTCGTTAAACAGGTGGTACAGTACTTAGTATGAATATTTCAGAAGATTAATTGTACTTTAACAAGGTAAGACAATACATTAGATAGTTATATTTCTAGAATACTTATTATAATTATTCTTTGAAAATGCCGAATCGATTTTCTATCGGTACAGAAATATAACATATTTTGTACATTATGTATGTAAATAAAATTCTTAAAAAATTTTATAATTTAGCCAATTATACAAATATTTGTCTTTTTTCAATTTTGAATTGTATCTATTTTAATTCTTTAAAAATATCTTCGTAAAACTCATAACCTAATACTAATTTAGAATTCAATTTCTAAAAATGTCAGTTCAAATCCCATTTTAGGAAACAAATATTTAGAATAAAATTAATAACAGTTATATAAAATTATTTTTTTCCTCTTATTTACTCTAAAACAAAAAAAAAAACGAACATAATAAATACAATGAGCTTGTATCGAAACAGCACGTTAAAAACACCACAAACGGCAATAAAATATACAATTGATTTGATGACAGCAAAGAATTTAGTATTTTATAAAACAAAACTAGTAAGGGCACGCTGTATTGATCTAACAAATCAACATTCTGCAGCAATTTAGAAAAAAAAAGAAGAAAACAAAAAGAACCAAATACTACAAAACTTGTATCTTTGGCATTTAAGATCGAATGACTTATTTTTTTATCGTTGCAAACTTGTAACATCATTCAATAGCATAGTTAAAAAAAAAACAAGCCTTCTCCTTAGTTGAAAGCTTATGTTTCTCCATTTTTATATAAAATCCAGTATATAATAATGTGTTCAATACGCAGTGATGAATAACGTCATTGCATAGAGCCATTATGTCTATTTAAATTAAAATGTAAAATAATTACATTAAAAGCGGTTTAAATTCCAATTTTCTCTATTTTTACAAACAAAATAATTTGCATATGGATGTATGTGTAGAGTTACACAAACACATATATATACCGACATCATATATTTTGATATAATTTGATTTTGCTCTTATTATAAGAATTAAAAAAATTTAAATTCAGATAGTACAAAATAATAATTTAAATCGAATAATTGGAAGTTAATGTCAAAATCCAAAAATATACATGAATAAATTTTACGACTTCTTGCGGTCTGCCGCACAGATAAAAATAATTCTTTGCTTTAAAATAGTATTTTTATTATTGACACATTGTGAAAAAATATTTCTCCTTTTTGACAGATAAGTTGTATGACGTTATGAAATCGCAATAATTATGAAGAAAGTAAAAAAGCGGTATGAAAGCCATTTTCATCTACATATGTCAAAATCTAAATAAAAAATTTTCCGATAACAAAAGGTTGCCCACAACTATTACTTTATTCATAAATTTTAGTTGATGCATGAGGAATAAATAGAATTCATATTATGTATTGCACATAAAATGCTACATATCCACATACACAATATTATAAGTTATTCACAAACTAATATTATGTTTACAGGTATATGAATATAAAAATATTGTTCATCAATTCCCATTTTAAGTGATTTTGGAGACCGAAGATGGTTAATGTGACATGTTTTCACTCATATTAGAGAGAAAAGACGATAAGATTTATTTTATTAAATAAATATTCAACTACTAGCTTAATAGAAGTATAAAAACTTTACATGAATCCATCAGACCTTAAAATAATTTTTATGACATCGTTTCCATTTAAAAAAAAATACTTAAAGATGTTTATAAATACACGAGGATCATGTTTTTTGATGATGCAAGATGACAATATAGGAATGGTGTGCTTTTATGTTTATGTTCTTGTGTTTTTTCATAAGAACGCCATAGGCTCTTTATTGAATTGCATTTAGTGAAATTTTTTTTTCGTATTATGATGATAACGGTATTTTGATGGTTTATTGACGTCTGGAATTTTCTGTTTTTGTTATTGGTTTGAAGAAAAAAAATATTTTGTTGTTTTTGCTTTAAATATGTTTTGTTATTTTTCAACTTCTAGGCTATGACAGGAGCATGAAAAAAAGAAGAGAAAAGAGATAGAATTAAATAAAACCGTAGCTAAATAGAATTTAGGAGAAATTGTTTTTAAATGGTTATGCAAGAGTTGAAAGAAGATTTTTACTATAATTGTCAAATTTAGATTAGATAAAATAAACTTTTTTCAAATAAAATAAAATAATTTAATCGCAATTAGTTAAGTTCTGCGTGAGAGTCA